AGAAAGGAACAAGAGGTCGTGACCTTCAGGGTCATCAGTCGTCTGTCCAGAGAAAACGACCCCTGACCACATGCTACACACACACACACACACACACACACACACACACACACACACACACACACACACACACACACACACACACACACACACACACACACACACACACACACACACCACACACACACACACACACACACACACACACACACACACACACACACACACACACACACACACACACACACAGACACACACACACACACACACACACACACACACACACACACACACACACACACACACACACACACACACACACACACACACACACACACACACCAGTTAATGACCCTCTGTTTTCTCCATTAGTCTCTATTTCCTGCAGACACTGAAAACACACTGACTTCAGGCAGGTGACCACTGACATGTTGACCAACAACACCGACTCATAAAGCCTCGTAAACATGTCAACAAACAACAGCCAGTGGAGAAAATGTCAAATAAGTTGGAGGACAACTCTCCGTCTCAAATATGAGCTTTCAAACACTGTTTCTTGCATCTTTTATCGGGGTATTTTCTGCTCCTCGTTCACATTTTTAAGGGCCTTTGAAGATTTCTATGGGTCTTTATATGCAGCTAAATGTAAAATACTAGTAATACACATGCAATATTTCTTAGAAGGCATCCCTTGATCGATGTTTGGAACCCTTCCCTCCGCGGCTGATGTGAATCTGAGGGACTAATGCACTGCAGAGCTCTTTCAAATAGATAAAGTTAACTCTGCAGAATCAGAAACACTCATTAAAATGTTTACTTGACTCTATCTGTTCCCTCATTCAGGCGGTTCTAAGAATGGAGTTTATCGGCTCGTCGTCGTCCAACATAAACACACCGCCCACTATCTGAGGATATAATTGTTCATTATGTAAGACAGGCTGAGACAACTCTCTAAACTACCACTGCGGACGCTTGTGGATTTAAATACAAAGAAAGTCCCATTTAGTGCAAAATGTCTTTAAATGCTGTTTTCAGACGTCCTCCTTTCTCTGTTTAATATCCTATATCTGTGGGTTTCTGAGTGACGCGACCTTTCATTTCATCACTCAGTAACCGATTGGTCAGGAAATTGTGAAAAGTCTCCGTCCCAGTTGAGTCTGTAAGTCTTTAAAAGTTGTTCATGCAAACATAGCAGTATGTTGTTTCATGTAGAAATCTCAGAAAAAGCCGTTTTCAGCCCCGAAATATAGACATTTCCTCAATTGTTTAATATCATACTAAGTGAATATGTGTGGGTTCTGCACACACAAAACAAGACATTTGAAGACAGAAACGTTGATTTGAGAACTTGATTGACATTTTTGCTCTTTTTCTGACATGAAACCATTAATCTATTATTAAAAACCCTTTTCCCAAAATAAGATATAACGTGCGTATCCCCCAGATAAAACACACTCACACCGTCTCCTCTTGTCGTCCCTGTAGTTTTCCACTACCTTGCAGTATATATTGCGGGGGGGGGGGTCAGTAATCTCAGCTCATTATTCCAGAACATTTCCGACCCTCGGAGGAATTCGTCCTGCAGGAAATATGGTTTTCAGGAACAGACGCCCCCCCCCCCCTGTGATACCCTTTACCCCCCCTGAAGTTAAGATGAAGTTATGACCCCCCGCCTCACAGTGGGGGGCCTTTGATCATCCTAATAACTTAAGTATAATTAACTTCTGCTTGTCTTGTATTGTACTTCTTAATTATATATGTTCACATATATTACACAGTAGTATGCATGTGTTAATGAGCCCACTTTTCAAATACATTCAGTCAATTCAAGTTGAAAACAAGTTCTAACAAATCTTAGTTAATAAGAAAAAAGCCCAAAAACTTATTTACACAACAACCTTGAAATAGACCCTTCATATTTCCTCTCATGATCAGGGGCCTCATGTATAACGCCGTGCGTAGGATTCACGTGGGAAGGTTGCTTACGTAGTAGAAATCCAAAAAATAGGTACAGATATTTTCCGATTCACCAAACATTGCGTACCGGCGAGGAAAGTGCGTACGGCACTTCCTACGCCGGTTTCCCTTTATAAATCACAACCGACTCGAAATGCGGTGCAGCTTTTGTGGGCTTCACGTAACGCCCATATTTGCCTATAAATAGTCAAATAAACGCCCATTCATTCATTCATTCATTCTGACTGACTTTATGAAGAAGATCGCAGGAAATGACGACAGAAAGCTAAAACAGACGTCTCACACCGTGTCAGATTCTGGTTATTTTGGGAGGTGGAGATAAATCATATTGTTTGGTGGATGCAGTTTGAACCAGAGGAGCAGCATGGAGGTCGGATCGTCTCCAAAATAAATAAATAAATGAGTGGTCCGAAAAAGGTTAATGACAAAATAAATACACATAGCCTTCCTCAGGCAGTGTGTTTGTACCGGGGACAGGAGACCCCCCCCTGATGAGAGACTGTAAGAAGTGATCGGCTGTGCGCAGCGTCTCCACTGCAGCCTGTGCGTCTCAAGGGTTAGGGTTAGGGTTAAGGGTTAACCTAACCCTAACCCTATGTCTTTGTGTAAAACATGTGTTTTCAGTCCATTATCTGTTTTATATCATATTACATGAATATCTTGACAAAACAAGACATTTAGCAAAATATTTGATAGCTAATTATCCACTAGATTATTTAAAATAATACCTATTTCCAGCTGTAGATAAAAGTGACTTTTATGTCCTTTTACATCTTCTTTATCAGCTGCTGAGTTTCTGTCAGATCTCAGTCTGATGCCTCCCACAGATCAGTCACTTCTGAAATGAATCCCACTCCCAGCACCACAGGGGGAAGAAAGGGGGGGGCACTGCATTCCCCAAAACCCCCCCAAATCAGGACAGAGGACACATCTCCTCCTCCACATCCACTGATGCTCTGCTAAAGGTCAGAAAGTAGCAGAGATGTTAAAGTACACACATCCTTTCCTCAAGTAGAAGTACACACATCCTTTCCTCAAGTAGAAGTACACATTTCAATTCCTCAAGTAGAAGTACACACATCCTTTCCTCAAGTAGAAGTACACACATCCTTTACTCAAGTAGAAGTACACACATCCTTTCCTCAAGTAGAAGTACACACATCATTTCCTCAAGTAGAAGTACACACATCCTTTCCTCAAGTAGAAGTACACACATCCTTTCCTCAAGTAGAAGTACACACATCCTGTACTCAAGTAGAAGTACACACATCCTTTCCTCAAGTAGAAGTACACACATCCTTTCCTCAAGTAGAAGTACACACATCCTTTCCTCAAGTAGAAGTACACACATCCTTTACTCAAGTAGAAGTACACACATCCTTTCCTCAAGTAGAAGTACACACATCCTGTACTCAAGTAGAAGTACAACACATCCTTTCCTCAAGTAGAAGTAACACACATCCTTTCCTCAAGTAGAAGTACACACATCCTTTCCTCAAGTAGAAGTACACACATCCTTTCCTCAAGTAGAAGTACACACATCCTTTACTCAAGCAGAAGTACACACATCCTTTCCTCAAGTAGAAGTACACACATCCTTTACTCAAGTAGAAGTACAGATACTGGTGTCTAAAAATACTCTGGTAGAAGTACTGACTAAACTTCTTTACTCAAGTGAAAGTAAAGAGGCTTTGAAGTGTACTTCAGTAAAAAGATAGTTAGTCCACAACGTTATCGATGGATGGCGTCACGGAGAGGCCGAGCTTCTCCACACCGAGTCTTGCAGAAAGCATCTCTTTAAATCTTGGAGTTCACAAATCTTAGTGGACAAAAACCAAAACCACCGCTGAGTTGACGTCTCGACAAATACTAATATGTTGTCAACCAATTAGATCAGTTACAGTAATCGACTAATGGGAGTTCCTCCAGAGAATCTTGCTTTGATCAGAGAAGCAGACTCCGTACTGGACTGAAGGAATCTTATTCCACGTAGACCAAAACCACCCTTTCGTTTCTTTACACGAGTTTCTCCACACAGAAACCTGGCTTGTATCAAAGATGTGTTCATAAGTTTCTTCAGCATTAAAATAAAACTATTTGACCACAACGTCCAGAGAGGAGGCAGCAGTACTGCACTGAGTCTGGATCTGACTCCACCTGCACTGAGTCTGGATCCACCTGCACTGAGTCTGGATCCACCTGCACTGAGTCTGGATCCACCTGCACTGAGTCTGGATCCACCTGCACTGAGTCTGGCTCCACCTGCACTGAGTCTGGCTCCACCTGCACTGAGTCTGGATCTGATCAGAAGTTGGCAAAGGAAGCAGCTCAAATTAACTCACTGGGTTTTATATACCGTGTGGGAAATCATAAGAAGGGACAATTTACAGCTCATTTCCAGATGAATAAATCAATAGTTTGGTGAAAGAAAAGTCAGGAAATAGTTTTAAAAGTCCGTCAAAGTTCCTGAAACTCCAAAGATATTCACTTAAAATAATAAAAGCAGCATTTTCTGACATATTTGCATAAAAACTACTTAAACGATGAATGCATTATATAAACAAATAGATTGTTTCTCAGCTTCAGTGTGCAGCAGAAGCCTGAGTATGAAATACAGATGCATTTCAGTTGTTTTAGGAGTTTTAAGGTGAAGTACAACTGGACTGTAACTTTGGAGCAAACAGTGCATAGAGAGAGAATGTTCATTTAAACAGAAAACATTGGATTTAGAGGTTTGTGTGCATTATCGTCTCAGTGTCTTCCTCTCAGACCCCACACTGTGAGGATTACACTCCTCTGGCTGTTCTGAACTAAAGCTCACACATGCCTGCTTTCACAATTTCACCCCATCAGCCTGATAGATCAATCCCTCCACCCCAGAGAGACCAGAACATCTCCCAGTATGAGGAGAAAGTGCTCCCACTTGTTGCTGCAGCCTCACGCAGTTTGCATACTAAACAGCAGCCTGGGATCCCGGAGCTTTTTGGGCTTCTTTTAACGCCAGAAATGTGCTTTTAACTCACCGAGAGGAACTCCAGGGTTTGCACATAGTCCCGCTCCGTGTGCAGCAGCTCGCTGAGGACGCACACCCGGAGCCGGAGCTGCTTCTCCGGGCTTTCCTCCGTCATGGTGAGGAGGTTCATTCAACAAATAATAATCCTGTAATATGTATTAAATCCTGCAGAAGAAAGTTTCCCCTCAGCCTTCAGAGGAGGGAGATGTGCAGCATGGTCCGGTGTCTGCAGGAAGTGGAATTTAAATAAATAAAAGTCCACAGAAGAGAGAGGAGTGGGCAACAAGTGCACAGAAAGTTATTTCCATGTGACTAAAGTCTGCATCCTCAATCCTGGCTCCACAGATTCACTGCAGAGGAGAGATGTCAAGCTGCTAGTGTGTAAACAAGGCGACTTCCGGGTGTGGATTTCAGAATAAAATAGCAGCAACAGGTTTGATAACTAAAACACCAATTTACACATTCAAACTAAGTGTTTTCATGATCAAACAGAGCTTTTATAATGTAGTAGCATTACTGGTGGAAACAACGGGCAGTAAGAGAGTGCTAAACTGCCTACATTCCTAGTTTTATGTTATGTATTCTTTTATTTTGAAGGAACAGCTAATAGACTTCTGGGATATTTGTCTGTCTTTCCCGAAAATTTCACAAACTCTATTTCCTTTATACAAAATATTGAACAAATGCTAATGAGGATGTATTGGACAAAAATAAGATTTTATTGATAATTTTGTTAAATGTACGTGCTACAAAAAGTGTAAATAAAATCACTTTCGGCTGCGGTTTTCAGAATAAAAGAGCAGCAACAGGTTTGACAACTAAAACACCAACTAACTGTTTATATGATCAAAAAGAGTATTTATAATCTAGTATTACTGGTGGAGACAACAGGCAGTAAGAGAGTGATACACTGCCTGAATTAATAGTCCATATGACTTTTATTTATTATCTTATCTTATTTTGAAGGAGCAATTTCTTGGATTTTTGACTTTCTTTCCTGAAATGTTCACAAACTCCATTTATTTTATTTAAAATATATTAAAATTATAATAAATAATACATTTAATTTAAAAACGGTTTTAATAAAACTGGATAAAGATAGGAGTTAAAAAAAAATGTTTTGCTAAATGTACATGTTGTAAAAAGTGTAAACAAGACGACTTCCGGTTGCGGTTTTCAGAATAAAAGAGCAGCCACAGGTTTGAAAACAACATGATAATAATAGAGTATACTTTGATTGAATACAAGCATAACATTAATAATTAACCTGCTGAAATGATGCTTTATATTACTTTTAATTGATATATTACTTTTATTTTGAAGGAACAACACCTGAAATGTCCTAAATGCAAAACATAAACAATTAATACATTCGATGTTATTGAGCATTTTGTTAACCTGAGGAGCTCCAGAGCAGTATATATTGTAGACATTAATTCAAAACGCCACCTTGACCCTGTAAGCTACACTTAGAGTATTTAGGTGGTTTTATTTGAGTTAAATATCTTCCTCCACATTGACCAAGATGCAGTGTCACTACCATAGACTGGTCACTACAAGTAAACCATGAATGGAGTAATGCTGCTTCACTATAATCACTTTCTGTCTCCACATAATAAAGCACACAGTCAGAAAGCTCTGATTGGATCATTAAGCTTTAACATAACTCAATGTTTTACACACTCTGCAAAGCCATCAGTTCTTCAGATGAATGCACAAATAATACACAGAATCTATAAAAGCATGGACACAAAAAACACAAGGTATGCTCGTTAACTCTGTGTGTGTGTGTGTGTGTGTGTGTGTGTGTGTGTGTGTGTGTGTGTGTGTGTGTGTGTGTGTGTGTGTGTGTGTGTGTGTGTGTGTGTGTGTGTGTGTGTGTGTGTGTGTGTGTGTGTGTGTGTGTGTGTGTGTGTATCATCATAGTCTTAAAAAGGTGAAAATAAGGGGTTTGAGTCAGTCAGCTGTTCTGCAAACAGCCAGAGAGTCCTGTGAGGGGATTTAAGGATTCACTTCTCAACAGGTGGGGAATCCATTTATTCTGCAGCACACTCATGACATTTGTTTTTATTTAACTCATTTTAAAAGCACATTAATCATCAATAAATTAACCTCTTCTCATTTAAATCATCAGCACACGGAGAGGCGTTATTTGAGAGATGCTTTATGTCTTAATCACAGGTTAGACTTTGTGAGATGAGGACAGGTCAATGTTGACATATAGTGCCCTCTGGTGGAGTGTGGTGGTACTGCATACTCTAGGTATTATATTGTAATGTGTGTTTGGTGCCAGCAGGGGGCGCTACACTTCCGGATTCCATTGTGCATCCTCTGCTGGAGGCCTTCATGCAGATGTAACACACGTTAACACAACTTCTGTCTTTATTGAACGATTGCAGTCTAGATTTGAGAATAAAGTTTAATTGTATGGTATAAAATGGAGGAAATGCAGCAAACTCACTTTATGGAAGTAACTGAGATCACATTTTAAGAAATATATACATTCTAGTCTTCATATGGGTGTTGGTTTTCATTCAGTAGAGGTTTAACTATACCATATTAACATTTTAGATGTATATGTTCATATTAAACCTTTCAAATCCCTCATTTAACACCGAGACAATTTCTCATTTTCAACGATTTTCCATCAAAATCAATCATTGAGTTGAGATAATGAGGCAGTAGTACAAGTTTGGAAATAAGTTATATATATATACTAAACTACACTAAGAAAGAAAGAATTAAACATATTTATTTTGTATTTTACCATGACCATATCGTGCCTTGTGATGTGCTTCTGTGTAAAAAAGTGATCCATTTGTAATAAAACATAAAATAAATAACTCTTTTGAGGATGCAGTCTTTGTTTTTCTGGACCCTAGGAGGCCATCAACTGATCCTGCAAATCCAACAGATCTTAAGTCTCACACTGAATGTATTTCCTGACTAAGTGTTAGTGGATCTGATCCCAGTTTCACACCCAATCTGCACCCAGCCTGAAGAGATTAGTGGTGAACCAGATTCTTTAGGGTTTTATATCAGCCGTTCCACAGCAGGTACATTTCAGAATCCAGATTGTATTCTATGGCGGCAGAGCGTGCTGGCTTGCCGCTCCCCTACCGCTGCCACCGATGCCGGTGAGCCGCCTGCGTCAGGGTTTCTACGGCCCGGCCCTTCGTTTCACGCCCCCTGCCAGACATCTGGCGGTGTGTGGAGGCAACGTGGCGACAGCCTCTGAAGACGAAGGCCAAAGAACCAACATTCTGGTAGTGTAAATGTCCTGCCTCTGAGTGTGCAGAGGAAAATGTAAACAAGAAGCACACTGTTCAGGGTGTGTGCTGTAGGTGTAAGAAGAAAATACGATTATATTGCTTTAAGAATACATTTTAAATGGTATTGCTGGTATGTTAAGATATGTTTGTGACCTTGAATAAACCCTATGCCCCGTCTTACACCCTGAGACCCTCAGAGGCATCACTGCTGGTCTTAAACAACCTGCCTGAGGCAATCTGCTCAATTAGGTCAATGTTGTATTATTTGTTTCATTTATTCGTAATCTATGTATTGTATGGTAATAATGAATAAAAACGTAATGTATAGAACACATTCCGAAACAAAGCAGATAAGAACTAGACTCAGACATAATACGAATTATTGTTGAAACCTTTTGCGCTGTTGCTGCAAAATGGAAACTTTGTTGATTATCTATTCCAACTGGCCAAATTCAATTACAGCTTTAAATATAGTTTAACTTTCTTTATTAAACTGCTTCAAATTTCAAACAAACTGTAATCATGAGCCGCTTTGAGGATTTAAAGCATATTATAAAGGCGAAAAGCAACACTTTGTGTGTGTGCCTGCCAGGCAGGGCTGCGTAATGCGTAGTGCAGTAGATCTAATAATAATAATAATAAATTGTGTTTTTCTAGCGCTTTTCTCGAACCCAGAGACGCTTTACATTTGGGGAAGGGTAGACAGACAAGGACAGGCAATAAAACAACAACACAACAAAACAAAAACAAAGATCTGTGGTGGTAGTAGTGCTTGTAGTTAGTGCATGCTGCTTCTGCTTGCTACTCTACTTTCAGCTACTGCCGCCGGCTAGCCCTCCTCGCGGTGGGTGAAAAGAGGAGCCGAGTGTGTAAGTCTCCTCCTGCTGGTACAAAGCCGCTCCACCGCCAAGACTCCTGCAGTGCCTCCTCGTGGCCTCACACGGTAACTGGGTACTGTGTGAGGCCCCAGGCTAAACTGTAGGGGACCTCGGAGCAACAGTGGGCCCCAGAGGCAAGGTGCGCAGGCCCACCGGTGTGTGGACACGCCCTGGCGCCTGCCAACCGCTGTCCCAGCTATGGGCAAATAGCAGGGGCAGATGGGGCTCATAGCCATGGAAGGCAACCCATCTAGGAGAAGGACACTCTGAACTAAAACCAGGACTGAGAGGAGTTGCGCCCCCCAGTCCATAATCAGCATAGTAAAGCCAACCATGAAGAACAAAGTCATACCAAATGCTAAACTTCCAGCGGCGGAACTGGCCAGATGTACGGAGAACCGGGATGACTGGAAGCGATGATGGAGGGCTCGTCTGAGGACCAAAGCGGTTGGCAACAGATTGCTGACTCCGTGAATGCATAAGTAAAATGCGTCCTGTAACAGCGTGCACAGCTGCACATCTTTAAAAAGTGTATTGGATGCACGGCAGTCATGAACAAAAATAAATTGAGTGGCAGCCTTTTTGTCTTTATAATATCATCGCCCGAGGGTCACAAGTGGACTTTAAGCCTAATATTTTTTTAAATCCTTTTAATGTATAGCATTTTCTTTAATTCAAGCTGTACATGACATTTTTTGTTTCGTTTTTCAGATGTAACCCCGGCGGGTCTAAAAGGACCTGGCAACAAACTAAAATGAAATACAAAAACATCCTTCTATCTGATAAGTTTCCCTCTTTTGAGATCTTAAAAATACGTAAACGTTTTGTATTGCTTCAATTGGTCTGTGTTTCATAACTGTAAAGGAAAGCAGTCCATTTTCTTCCCAATTCTTGCAGCCAACAAGAAAAAAAAGGACCAGAGGAAGACAGGAGGGGGCCCTCCTCCAGCTGAGTTCACCCCTGCCGAGGAGCTGGCAGCAACAATGAGGGTCGGCCCTTGATGGTAGGGGTGGAAGGGGGGTTCTCTATACAGACCCTGGTGGCAGCAGCTCCCACCACCTTTTTATACAGGGTATATAATTTATAACTATATTAAAGTACAATGTCAACTTCTTTTATTATACATAATTAGGGATGCTCCAATCGATTGCCGCCGATCATTATCGGCCGATATCC